GGCATGCCGCCCGCTGGAGTAGGCGCGCAAGGACCTCCCTATGGCTATCGGCCGAACGTCCATGTTCGGCTTGGAGAGCGCGACGAGGGTGGATGATGCCAGCATGGGAAGTGCGGCCGGGGCGCAGTCGCCCCGGAGCCACTGCTGGTAGACAGCAAGCAAGGTAGGGAGGGCCTTCGGGAAGGCCAAGAAGGTGTCGCGGAAGTGCTCGGCCACCCATCCCGAAGGTCCTCCGAAGAGCCCTCGGAGCGGTGAAAATGGCCCTGCGCAGATGCTCAATGCTCAGGACCAGGGGCTGCATCCCGGAAGGAGGCCACCCATGCTGGGATGGGGCGCTCCGCGCAAGGGTGCTTCGCCGTAGGCGGTGCACGTCTGATCTCCGTCCGGGGCCGCCTCTGCCGATCCAAGGCCGCACAAGCACGTGACGTCTCATTGCCGCTGCCAGGCGGAGGCAACGGGCAATGCGGCGCTCGTCAGGCGTCGGAGTCGCGGCGCGGGCGCGGCGTGTCGTGCATGCCGCGAGGGGTGTGCGGCGGTGGAGCGCCTCTGCTATGAGGGCGTCCCAATCTCCACCAAGGAAGCGCGCAATGCGCGCAGTGATGGCGCCGTATGTGATCGTGCAGGTGGTGTAGCTGGCGTGAGGAGGAGGGTCGGGATGGCCAACAGCAGAAACGTCGGTCCGCCCGCCTGGGGTGCTGGCTGATGCGCTGCAAGATCGCGCAGAGGACATCCACGTACCCCCCGCGAACCTCGGCGGGATACGCCGGAGCGGGCGAGCATGCATGCGTCTCGGTGAGAAATAATCCGTCCAATCGACCGCATCCAAGGACGACCACTGGACGTCCGAGAATGTGACGACGGAGGCGCGTGGCTCGCTGAATGAGGGAGGGGAAGAGGTGGCATCCTGCAGGGCCTCCGCCCTGCGTAGAGCATCGGCGGGCTGGCAATGGGGTGCATGGAGAGCAAGAGCGTGGCTGCTCACCAAGGTGCTCCGGCAGGTAGGACACGTGACCGCTAGTCCTCCTGTCGGCACCGCTGTGTCGTGCGGGGGGACTGGCATCGTGCTCTCCGAGCTATCAGCGCCGACGACCGCCTCTTCGATGGGCCCCTGTCCGAGGTCGGTGGCCCAAGTGGGGGGCGGGCCGTGCGTCTGGGGCGGGCAAGGCAATGGCCGGGGGGGAGGAGCGACGGCGGGATGCGCGGGCGTGGGTGAGGATGGTACGACCAAGGGGACAGTGGCTAGGGCGGGGCATGCGTCTGGATGGCAGGCTAGCTCAGTGGCCTCGCCGGGGGACGTAGGAGCTGGGGTGTGGGCAGCTGGAGCAGTGGATGCGTCTGGGCAGAGGGGGTGGTCGGGGGCCGCGTCGGAGTCATCGATCACCATGCGCTCCGGTGTGAGGGCGGTGGACGGGGGGGAAGGGGGGCATGGGAGATGTCTGGAGCAGGGTCCACGGTGCCCCCCCACCCGACCCGGACAAGCGGGCGCAGAGGGGGTGGCGGACGCGTCCCATATCCTGAGAAGGTCGGCAACTGCCGCCTCCGTCTCCCCATCTGCCCCCTGCGACTGTCCGCCTGTGGGTAGGGGGAGCAGGGCAGGCTGGTTGGTCGTGGTGGGCGAACCACCGTGGGACCTGGCCTGGGTCGGAGGTTGTGGACCGGAGGGGGACAAAGAAGCGGGTGGTGGGGACCGACGCTGGGGGGGATATAGGCTTGCTTGCGAGAGGCTAACGACCCTCTTCCACCGCCGGTTCGATTTCCATCGCGGATGGGGCATCGGCGGCGACTGTCTGGTGGGGGCCAGGGCGGGATGGGGGGGTGACAGGGGAGTGGGCCTGGGTGGTGAGGAGGGAGGGAGACCGTCCGAAGCTCGCCATCCTGGTTATGGGAGGGCAGTGGGTGGCGGGCCGGGGGCAATGATGGGGTCGCCTGAGGGGTGGTGGCTGGTAAGGGCTGCACGCCAGCAGAGGGTGGAGTCGTGTCCGGCTGCTCCGAGCGCCGGGCTGCCCCGGGTGTCCCCTTGCCCTTGCCCTTCTTCCGGCGACCTGTGTGGGGTTGGGCAAACTGTCCAATCAGTGGCTGCCGTGTGACCGCCCCCTGCTGTGGGTGAGGAGTGTGAGAATGGGGCAGCTGGGAGGGTGAGGGGGTGTGGCCGCCGATGGCCGCTGCCGCGATGGGCTAGCCTGCGCATGGATGGCGGCCTGCCCTGGGGCGGGTGCAGATGGGGACAGGGGGAGAAAGTGAGGGGTGGTGGCGGTGGTGGAATCGGCAGCACCGTCCGATGCCCCGCCCTCCCCCGACACCTTCCCCGTCCCCTTCCCCCTGGGCGTCTGCCGATATCGCTGCCTGTGCGGAGCGACGGTAAGGGGGGATGTAGGGTTGGGAGGAGACATCATGCAGGTCCCCTACTCCTGTTTTGTCGACGTCCATCGCGGATGGGTGGCTCGCTGCGACCACCTGAATACTGACGGGCAAGGAGTGTGTGGGGCAGGAAGGGGGAGGGTGAGATGGGGGGCCGCCCTCGCCTCGCCCCTGTTCGCGCTGATGGGCCGGGCGGGAGTGGGGGGCAGGGCAAGAGAGGTGGTTGGGCAGTAGGGTAAGGGTTAAGCGTGGGTGGGACGCTCAATGGAGGGGGTGGGAAGGGTGGGTGCCCCAGCGCTGGGCTGGAGGGTGTGTGAGACGGAAGTGACAAGGGAGGGCCCAAGAGGGAGGCACTCCCGTGGTCGCCTGCCGTGCGGGACATGAAACCTGGGGGCTGCACGAAAGGGCGCGAGGGGAGTTCCGGCTGGATTGCCGGGGAAAGGGGGCGGGTGGGATGTGTGGGAGAGGGAGGGGGGGGCGGGACGCGGGCAAGGTAGGGCCCACGGCCTGGAAGGGAAGCAGAGTGGGCGCCGAGGGACCCCCGCCTTGCCCGAAGCTTAGCTGTGGGGCTTGGGAAGTGGGATCAGCCGGGGTGAGACGGCGAGGGCCGAGAGGGAGTTGATTCGGGTTGCTCCCCCTTGCCGGGGGTGCACCCCGCTCACCGTTCCTATGGGAAGCGCCCATGTGGCCGACAGGGTGTGTGCCCTGTGCCGGGCGGGAGGCACCTGGGGTGGAACAGGGTTGGGGGCGGACTGACGAGGGGGGTTGGGCAAGAGCCGCCCCTCCTTGTGCTACCCAGGTCGAGGCGTCCGGCGCGACAGCCTGCGTGGGTGGGGAGGGGGAGGGAGCAACCTGCCCGGCTGTTGTTTGTGCTCCTGGCGCCGGCGCGAGGGCTGATGAGGGAGAGCATGGAAGGGTTGAGTCGACCAAGATATATCCGGCGAGCGGGCCATCATTGTCCGAGCCATCCTCGGCGGCCGCCTCGTGGGGCACACTCGGCTGTAAGGGGAGGGTGTGGGGGGAGAGGGAGTGGTGAGACTGCGTCCCGATCATTGGCTCGGGTGTACAGGGGTCCGCCAAAAACGCCAAGGCTCGGGCCGCCCCGCCCATAGCCCTGGGTTGTAGCCCACGGCGAGGGCCCTGCGCCGCTGGTGAAGCCCCTGCTAAGCGCCAGTGGGCGAGAGCAGTTCTGGGCAGGGTGACCTCCCGGGAAGTCCTCGTGTCGTACCCATTTCTGCCTGCTCCCGTGCCCGGGAGGGGGCAGTGGGAAAAAGAAAGGAGGATTCTTCTCCGAACCGCCCGGGCGGCGATGTCGCGCCGCTCTGCGGAGGGCCGCTCTCTGCATAGGACGCCACGGAGCGCGACTACGTATGGGCGTCCATTCCGCCCCCAGCGAGATGGCGAGCCTCTTGCGGGCACGACCGCGGATGTGACTATAAAGAGGGGAGCTGCCTCGGGGGAGGAGTGGGAAGCGGACCGCGGACAGGACTGCACGTGGTACGATCATACCTTGGCTACTACGCCGGATCCCATCAGAACTCCGCAGCGTAGCGCCAGTGGGCGAGAGCAGTACTGGGCAGGGTGACCTCCCGGGAAGTCCTCGTGTCGTACCCATTTCTGCCTGCTCCCGTGCCCGGGAGGGGGCAGTGGGAAAAAGAAAGGAGGATTCTTCTCCGAACCGCCCGGGCGGCGATGTCGCGCCGCTCTGCGGAGGGCCGCTCTCTGCATAGGACGCCACGGAGCGCGACTACGTATGGGCGTCCATTCCGCCCCCAGCGAGATGGCGAGCCTCTTGCGGGCACGTTCGCGGATGTGACTATAAAGAGGGGAGCTGCCTCGGGGAGGAGTGGGAAGCGGACCGCGGACAGGATTGCACGTGGTACGATCATACCTTGGCTACTACGCCGGATCCCATCAGAACTCCGCAGCGTAGCGCCAGTGGGCGAGAGCAGTTCTGGGCAGGGTGACCTCCCGGGAAGTCCTCGTGTCGTACCCATTTCTGCCTGCTCCCGTGCCCGGGAGGGGCAGTGGGAAAAAGAAAGGAGGATTCTTCTCCGAACCGCCCGGGCGGCGATGTCGCGCCGCTCTGCGGAGGCCGCTCTCTGCATAGGACGCCACGGAGCGCGACTACGTATGGGCGTCCATTCCCCCCAGCGAGATGGCGAGCCTCTTGCGGGCACGACCGCGGATGTGACTATAAAGAGGGGAGCTGCATCAGGGGAGGAGTGGGAAGCGGACCGCGGACAGGACTGCACGTGGTACGATCATACCTTGGCTACTACGCCGGATCCCATCAGAACTCCGCAGCTAAGCGCCAGTGGGCGAGAGCAGTTTTCTCATTAAAAATAACGAGGGTTACAAGTCATATAGCAATTCTAAAGCCAAATATGAGATTTTCGGCATGAGCGTTGCGCTATTATGACATAGTAGCGTTTAGAGGTATAGAAGAAAAAAAGAGAGAGAAGAGATAGAGAAGGAAAGAAAGAGAAGATAGTGGAAGGAAGAAGGTAGCAGAAAGAGTGGGGGAGAAGAGAGCGAGAGAGGAGAGAAAGAGAAGAGGGGAAGAGGGGAGGGGGGTGTGACTATATCAAAGGGACATCCTGGGACCTAACAAAACAACAGCCCACGCGCACAGCGCGGGCACAGCGTCTCAAGCACGGCCTATATATGTTTTTCTACACATATGCATCATACATGTACTGCATATCTGCTGCACTCTCGAAGCACCCTGTGATGTGGTGCCAACTCCCCTGCCCAGCGCCCAAAGGTACAGGCGCTGGCATCCATCCATTGTCGGAGCCGCCCAGCTGCCGCACTGCATGCTGCATGATCACATTTGCCTGCGCGCGCTGCAGTGCCACGGAGAGACGCGTAGTGAGGCTCGTCTCAAATATCCGTGCCGACCCGTCATCCCCTGCCCCTGAATCTCTCCTCCGCCGTGCTGTCCGCGATGCACACAGCCCTAGGAACTGCCGCAGTGGCTCACTCAGGCACCCAAAAGTCTCCACTACGCAGGCGTAAAACTCTGGATCCGGCTGCAACCCCTGTAACACCGGCCTCCAGTGTCGCAGCTTGTCCTGCACCCGCCTAGCTGCTGCGCCGCCAATCTGAGTGGGTGCCATCCGCCTGAACTGCGCATTCCCCTCCCGCTGTGGGTCTGCCACCGAGACGTCTACAATCACCATCAAAGCATCTCGCGGCGCCCTGCAGGTGAGGTCGGGAATGCGGGCGGGTGCCCCTATGCGGCCTGTGCGAGCGGCTGGCGTCTGCTGCTGCTGCGCGGGCTGCTGCTCTGTCTGGTCCCCTGATGTCCCTCCTCTGGTCGTCGTGGTCCCCCTCCCAACTCCCCCTCTCACCCTCCCTCTCCTCCCTCCCGCTCTCCCCTCCCCCACTCCCCCTGCCACCCCCGCCCCTTCCGCCATCTCCTCTCTCCCTCCCGCCCCCCTCCCCTCCCGCCCTCCGTCCCTCCTATACCCCCGCCCTACTACCGACCCCTCTAGCCCACCCTCGCCTGTCCTCCCCTCCGCGTGCGCCTCTCCTACCGCCTCGCGCGCGAAACGCACACGCCTCGGCGGTGCCCTGCCCAAGAGCCCGTCCCCTGTCCCCTGCTGCTGTCCTGCCTGGGCCCCCTGCTGCGGCCCTGCCTGAGCTCCCAGCGGCTGCTGTACCTGCCCCTCTCCCCCCCGCGCGCCGCTGCTGCCCCTCTCCGCCACCCTGCCGCTGCTGCTGCTGCTCCTCCTCCCGCCGGCTCTCCCCCGTGCCCTGCTGCTGTTGCTGCTGCTGCTGCTGCGGCTGCTGCTGCTGCTGCTGCTGCTGCTGCTGCTGATCCTCCCTGCCGAACCGCCGCTGCTGCCCCTCCTGCTCCTCCTCCGCCCCCTGCCTCTCTCCCTCCTCACCCGCCTGCCTCTCCCCCCCTCCTGATCCCGCCGCTGCTGCCGTCCTGTCTGTCGTGCCCGCTCCTGCCCCTGCCCCTCCCCCGCGTGCAAAACCTGCAGTCGAGCTCGCGCCGCCTCCAGGTGCGGAATGAGCGCCGTGTCCTCCACCTGGACAGCGAAGCCGGCCTCGTCTGCGAAGTCACGAAGCATGAACTTCACTGTGTCGTGGATGGTCGTGGCGACCGCGAAGCGCGCGCACCTCACCGCGTGATGCGCACCGACATGTCGGCGATCTCCTCTCCGCACGAGCACTGACCTGCCAGGACTAACTGGGGAATGGGGAGACCGAGACGAAAGCATGAAGCCACCTGCCACTGCGCCTCCGGAATGCGCAGGGAGTCCGCGTAGGGTACCGCCGTAAGCCAAGCTCCCGCACCTGGACCCTGAAGGGATGTCAAACGGGCAAGATGCAGGGGATCAGTATGACGGGCACGTACCGACTCCAAAGCGTGCGCCTCGATGTGTCTGCTGGCCTCTCTGAAAAGGCCGTCCGGTGCTCCTGTCGCGCAAGAAGGCCAGGCCGGCATGAGGCGTAGGACGTCCGCCGGCAGGGCCTCCTGAGCCATCATGATGTGCGGATCGATCTGGGCGGGCTCACCTGATGCGAAGCTCTGACGGAAGCCCTCCCCCACCGACGGCAACGAGCAGAGAATCGGTGCGCACTGCGCCCACGAACAGAGATAACTCACCGGGGCGATGCGCTCCATGCGTCGGATGCCGAAGCCCCCGATGCGAATCGGGAGGAAAGCCTGCTCCAGGGCTGCCCCGCAGATCGCGTCCCCCTCCCTCCACGTACCTCGCACCAGGAGCTGCTGGAAGGTCGCTCCCAAGCGCGCGTCCCACGCTGCAAAGATGGCACGTACCTCTGGTGATGGGGGGACTGTCCGCGCCAAGTACTGCGGACGTGTGCTGACACACGCGGAGAGCAGGCGCGCCGCTGTCTGTGGCTGCCGCAGCCTCGGGAGCCACGGCAGCACCCCGGCCATCCTCTCCAGTCGGTCCCGCAGGCTGGTCGTCACAAAGGTCTCGGTGCCAACCGGGACGCCCGTCACGGTGAGCCCCCGGCGTGCGACCTCGATGCCCAGATCGGTGAAAGCCTGCACGTCGCGAGGCAGGATCACCGACGTGTGATGGACAAGGCACTTGTGCGGCTGGACAGCAAGGCCCAACCCGCCCAAGCGCCTCACGACCCCCGTGAAGTGGTGCAGCACCCTGTCCGGAGGGCCCACGAGGTAGGTGTCGTCGGCGTACGACCAGAGCTGGACGTCACCCCCTGCCAGGACGGGCTCCAGGGCAAGGCGCTGCGTGAGGGCGTAGAGAAACGGGCTCAGCGGGTCTCCCTGCCGAGTGCCGCGCTCCGAGTGCATCGTGGTGACTCCCCTGCCGGTCCGATAGAGCAGATCGGACGGCGTGCCGTAGAAAAGACGGATGAAAGGAATGAGGCACCTGAACTCAGGACTGGCATGCAGTGCCTGGAACAAGACGTCGCGAAAGAAAGAGTTAAAGGCGTTGGCCACGTCCAGCTGCAGAACCACCCAGCCTGGGTGGTCAGCTAGAGCGCGGACAACGCCTCTAACGGTGACCTCTGTGCCACACGTGACCCCGACTCCGAACTGCTGTGACGCGAGGAACACTCTCGCCATCTGGTCGCGGAGCTGGAGGCAGACTGCGCGGGAGAGGACGCGCACGAGCACCTCTCCAATGGCGATCGGCCGCACGTCCCCGTTCGGCTTCGCGAGAGCCACAAGGGTGGACGAGGCCAAAAGAGAACGCGCAGCTGAGGGGCAGCGTCCTCCGAGCCAGAGCTGGTACACAGACAGCAAGGAGGGTAGGGTCTGTGGGAATGCCAAGTAGGTGTCACGGAGGTGTTCTGCCACCCATCCGGTCGGTCCCCCCGACGAGCCCCGCGGTGCAGTGAAAATGGCCTGGCGCAAGTGGGTGGCAGAGAGCACGAGGCCGTCCTCGTGGAAGGTGGAGAGCCACTCCGGTAGAGGGCGCTCCGCGCTAGGGTGCTTAGCCCGTAGGCTATGCACCGTGCGATCCGTGTCTGGAGCCGCCTCGGCCGACTCCAGTGCCGCGCACGCACGAGATGTCTCGTTGCACGCTGCCAAGCGCAGGCAACGCGCAATCCGACGCTCGTCTCCCGACGTGGTGGTGACGGGGGTGCGACGTGATGTGCGGGTGGGCAGGGGCGTGCGACGACGCAGCGCGTCGGAGAAGAGAGAGTCCCACTCACCTCGGAAGAAGCGCGCGACGCGAGCCGCGATGGAAGCTGTGTGGCCCCGCTCTGGTGGAGTAGCTGGCGCTAAGAACAGCGTCGGCACCGCCGTGAACAAGAAGTGGGGCCCGTCGGCATCCGGATACTGCTCCATACGGGCGGTGATCGCGCGGAGGACATCAGAGATGCCTCCGCGGACCCTCGGCGGAATGCGCCGGAGCGGGCGAGCATGCGTCCGGGACGGAGAGAAATACTCCCTCCAATCCACAGAGTCCAGCTGCGCCCACTGCGCGTCGGAAAAGACCGGGACAGATGAACCCGGGCGTGAGAGTGACCCGCCGACCGAGGCGGCCTCCTGGCGGGCCTGCACACGGCGTGCCTCATCGCTCGGGGTGCAGTGAGGTGTGTGGTGGCGGAGAGCTCTATCGTCCGCCATGAGGTTCAGACACGTGGGACATCTCACCTCATGGGCTGGCGTGGACTCGTCCGCGTGATCGGTGTGGGCGGTATCGTCAGAGCTCGCGGTGGAGGCGGCCGGCTCGACGACCGGGTCCGGTCGATAGTCGCCCGCCCTCGGGGAAGGAGGCTCACCTGCCACCTGGGGTCGGACGGGGGTCAGCGGCGGCGGCGATGTCGAAAGAGGGGGAGGGATCGGCGGGGGCCCGAGGGCCTAGGTGCGGCCCCTGCATCCTGGGGGGAGGGGAGCGGGTGGTCGGGGGCCGCGTCGGAGTCATCGATCACCATGCGCTCCGGTGTGAGGGCGGTGGACGGGGGGGGGGGGGCATGGGAGATGTCTGGGGCAGAGTCCACGGTGCCCCCCCCCACCCGACCCGGACAAGCGGGCGTAGAGGGGGTGGCGGACGTGTCCCATATCCTGAGAAGGTCGGCAACTGCCGCCTCCGTCTCCCCATCTGCCCCCTGCGACTGTCCGCCTGTGGGTAGGGGGAGCAGGGCAGGCTGGTTGGTCGTGGTGGGCGAACCACCGTGGGCCCTGACCTGGGTCGGAGGTTGTGGACCGGAGGGGGACAAAGAGGCGGGTGGTAGGGACCGACGCTGGGGGGGATATAGGCTTGCTTGCGAGAGGCTAACGACACCTCTTCCGCCTCCGGTTCGATTTCCATCGCGGATGGGGCATCGGCGGCGACCGTCTGGTGGGGGGCCAATGGCGGGATGGGTGGGTGACAGGGGAGTGGGGCCTGGGTGGGGTGAGGGAGGGAGACCGTCCGAAGCTCGCCATCCTGGTTATGGGAGGGCAGTGGGTGGCGGGCCGGGGGCAATGATGGGGTCGCCTGGGGTGGTGGATGGTAAGGGCTGCACGCCAGCAGAGGGTGGAGTCGTGTCCGGCTGCTCCGAGCGCCGGGCTGCCCCGGGTGTCCCCGTGCCCTTGCCCTTCTTCCGGCGACCTGTGTGGGGTTGGGCAAACTGTCCAATCAGCGGCTGCCGTGTGACCGCCCCCTGCTGTGGGTGAGGAGTGTGAGAATGGGGCAGCTGGGAGGGTGAGGGGGTGTGGCCGCCGATGGCCGCTTGCCGCGATGGGCTAGCCTGCGCATGGATGGCGGCTTGCCCTGGGGCGGGTGCAGATGGGGACAGGGGGGGAAAGTGAGGGGTGGTGGCGGTGGTGGAATCGGCAGCACCATCCGCAATGCCCCGCCCTCCCCCGACACCTTCCCCGTCCCCTTCCCCCTGGGCGTCTGCCGACATCGCTGCCTGTGCGGAGCGACGGAAAGGGGGGATGTAGGGTTGGGAGGAGACATCATGCAGGTCCCCTACTCCTATTTTGTCGACGTCCATCGCGGATGGGTGGCTCGCTGCGACCACCTGAATACTGACGGGCAAGGAGTGTGTGGGGCAGGAAGGGGGAGGGTGAGATGGGGGGGCCGCCCTCGCCTCGCCCCTGTTCGCGCTGATGGGCCGGGCGGGAGTGGGGGCAGGGCAAGAGAGGTGGTTGGGCAGCAGGGTAAGGGTTAAGCGTGGGTGGGACGCTCAATGGAGGGGGTGGGAGGGTGGGTGCCCCAGCGCTGGGCTGGAGGGTGTGTGAGACGGAAGTGACAAGGGAGGGCCCAAGAGGGAGGCACTCCCGTGGTCGCCTGCCGTGCGGGACATGAAACCTGGGGGCTGCACGAAAGGGCGCGAGGGGAGTTCCGGCTGGATTGCCGGGGAAAGGGGGCGGGTGGGATGTGTGGGAGAGGGAGGGGGGGGGGGCGCGGGCAAGGTAGGGCCCACGGCCGGGAAGGGAAGCAGAGTGGGCGCCGAGGGACCCCCGCCTTGCCCGAAGCTTAGCTGTGGGGCTTGGGAAGTGGGATCAGCCGGGGTGAGACGGCGAGGGCCGAGAGGGAGTTGATTCGGGTTGCTCCCCCTTGCGAGGGGTGCACCCCGCTCACCGTTCCTATGGGAAGCGCCCGTGTGGCCGACAGGGTGTGTGCCCTGTGCCGGGCGGGAGGCACCTGGGGTGGAACAGGGTTGGGGGCGGACTGACGAGGGGGGTTGGGCAAGAGCCGCCCCTCCTTGTGCTACCCAGGTCGAGGCGTCCCGCGACAGCCTGCGTGGGTGGGGAGGGGGAGGGAGCAACCTGCCCGGCTGTTGTTTGTGCTCCTGGCGCCGGCGCGAGGGCTGCTGAGGGAGAGCAAGGAAGGGTTGAGTCGACCAAGATATATCCGGCGAGCGGGCCATCATTGTCCGAGCCATCCTCGGCGGCCGCCTCCTGGGGCACACTCGGCTGTAAGGGGAGGGTGTGGGGGAGAGGGAGTGGTGAGACTGCGTCCCGATCATTGGCTCGGGTGTACAGGGGTCCGCCAAAAACGCCAAGGCTCGGGCCGCCCCGCCCATAGCCCTGGGTTGTAGCCCACAGCGAGGGCCCTGCGCCGCTGGTGAAGCCCCTGCATGCATGGGATTGGGAGTAGGGGGGGAAGGGGGACGGGGGACCGCAAGGGAAGTAGGGGGAGGAGGGAAGGAGGGGGGGGAGGGGGAGATGGGGGGGTGGGAGGGGATGAGACAGTCTCTTCCGGCCCAGGTGCTGCCCTGTGTCCGGCCTCCTTAGCCCTCGTCCCAGTTACTGCCTTACCTTCAGCCGCTCCGGCTGCTGTCTCTCTCACCACACCTCCTGCTGGAGCTGCCGCAGCTGCTGCCCTTCCTGCAGCGGCTCCCGCTGCCCTCTCCCGTGCAGCACCTCTTGCCGCTGCCCGTGTTGCTGCTGTTGCTGCCTTCCCTGCTGCCACCCCAGCTGCCCTTCCTGTTGCTGCCATCCCCGCAGCTACCCCGGCGGTTGTCTCCCCCGCGGCACGCCCTGCTGATCCTGCTGCTACCTTCCCTGCGGCCGCTTCCGCTGCTGCCCCCGGTGCGGCACCCCCTGCTGCCCCTTTTTCCGCTGACACCACCACAGCCGCCGCCGCCGCCGCTGCCGCCGCCGCCGCTGTCGCGGCCCTGCTAGCCGCTGCCTGCGAAACAGCGGGACCCATTGCTACTTTCCCTGCCGCTGCCCCCGCTGCTGCCTTCCCTGCCGCAGCACTTGCTGCTGGTTTCCCTGTGGCGCTCCCCCTGGCTGCCTTCCCCGCAGCGGCCCCTATCTCTGCCTCCTCCGCTGCTGCCGCAGCAGCTGCCAGACGTGCATACATCCCCCCCCCGGTAATAGCCCGTGCGAGAGCGCGTACAACAGCTCCCTTTCCTGCCTCCTCCGCCGTAGGTAGCCTTGCCGCTGCTGCCGCCTCCGGCGGCTCTCCTATCCCTGCCGCACCAGCAGCCGCCCCTGCACGTGCTCCTGTTGCTGCTGCTGCCGCTGCTGCTGCTGCTGCCTCTGCCGTTGTCCCTGCCCCCGCCGCCTCAGCAGGGACTCCTTCATCTGCTTCCCCGGCAGCCACCCTGGCCGCTGCAGCGGCCCCAGCCATCACCGCCTCTGCGGCATCCCGAGCCCCGGTCGCTGCGCCCCTCGCAAGATCGGCTGCTGCTGCCTCCTCTGCGGTGGCAGCTCCAGCTCCTGCCGCTGTCGCCGCCTGCACCGCCGCTGCTCCCGCCTCTGCCGCCTCTGCAGGGGCGCCTGCTGTTGCTGCTGCCCCAAATCCGCCCCGGCTGCCCCTGTGGCCCCTGCTGCTGCTGCCTCTGCCGCATCCCGAGCCCGAGCCGATGCACCTCTTGCATGATCCATTGCTGCCGCCTCCTCCGCGGAGGCCCCAGCTGTTGCCGCCGCTGCCCATGCTCCCGCTGCCACCGTCTCTGCTGCAGCCCCAGCTGTTGCTGCCGCCGCCGCGACCACCCCCCGGCTGCTGCCAACTCTGGAGCGGCCCCACCCCCAGCGGCTGCTACCTCTGCAGGGTCTCCTTCTGCCGCCCCCGCTGCAGCTGGCCCAGGTGCCTGCGCCTCTGCCGGTGCTGGAGCTGCTGCCACTTCTGCAAAGACCTTTGCGGCAGCCCCCACAGCCGCCCCTCCCACCACGGCTGTCGTTCCTCCCCCTGCGGCTACAGCCCGTGCTGCTGCCGCCTCTGCAGCCGCCTTTTCCACCTTCCCCCATGCAGCCTCTCCTGCCTCCGCCTCTGCCATAGCAGCTTCCGCTGGAGTACCCCCTGCGGTGACTCCTGCGGCAGCCTCCTTTGCCGCGGTCCTGATGGCTGCCACTGTTGCAACCGCCCCTGCAGTTGCCACACCTGCAGCCTCTCCTGCTGCTGCCTCCGGCGCCGCACCACATGCGGCCATGGACCGCGCATAGGCCCGGGCCATACCCTCTAATGCTGCCCTCTCTACCCCAGCCCGTGCCACCTCCCCCTCCGCCTCCGCTCCAGCTGCCGCTCCTGCCAACCCCACGGCTCCCGTCGCTGGCTCCCCTGCTGAGGACACGGCCTCGAGCCTGGCTGCACTAGGAGCGGGTGCTATGAGCTCAACTACGTCCTCATCCGAGTCCTCGGCGCCCTCCAAAACCCAATCCGAGTCCTTCGCGTTGTCCCCATCCGAGTCCCCGGCCTCGTCCCACTCTGAGTCCTCACCAGCCCCCACCGTCTCTGCCGATCTTTCCCCCTCCCCCTCTCCGTCACCCCCACTTTCACCTCCCACACCCCCATCTCTGCTGCCACCTCTGCAGGACCCCCCGGTGCTGCCGCATCCCCCTCCCCTGCCACAGGCCCTGCTGCGGCCTCACCTGTGCCAGCCTTGCTACCTGTGGCCATGGGTGTGGAGGAGGTGTGGGGCTCTCCTGGCGCTAGTGTTGGCCTGTGGGAGTGGCGGAGGGGGGCAGATGACTTTTTGCGACCATGGGAGCGCGAGCGTGTGGCTTCGCGCTCCTGCTTCTCCAGGCGTGAGGCGGGGCCTTCCTCTGCCTTCTCCCGTGGTCGTTTCCGGCCTCGCGAGGCAGAGCGCACCTGGTCCCCGCCCTTGCCGACGGTCACCTCGACGCGGGCTGGCGGGGCGATACTGTTGGGTGGGGGGATGGAAGACGATGAGTAGGGGGAAGGGCGGCCACCGGCTCTGCCTGACCGTCGGAGAGCACCGGGGCCGCCCTCCCCCGCATTGCAGGGGGTGTGGGTCATGGCCACGGGGACTGCATGCTAGAAGAGGGGAGGAGGGGGAAGCAGGGGGGGAAGGGAGGGAGGAAAACAGCGGGGAAAGAAGGTGAGATCAGAGAAACTGCGTGGAGTGGGGAGGGGGACAGGGGGGGGAGGATAGGGAGAGAACAGGGGCGGCGATTAGAGGAGGGTTATGGCGCTCGACTGTGGGGAGACGTACGGGGTGAAGGTGGGGAAACGGGGATAGGACAAGATGGAAAGAAACAGCCTGCAGGGACAGGGGGAACTGGAAGGAGAGGAGGGGAGGAGTGAAGAGCACCGGGTGTGGGGCGGGACGATTTCGGGGGTGGAAACTGACGTGTGAGTTGGTGGGAGCAAGGAGGGGAAAATCAGAGGGCGAGGGGCGGAAAAGCAGCGAGGAAGAGGGAGAAAACGCACTGGGCAAAAGAGGCGAAGAGCAGTGGGCAAGGGGGGGAAATCAGTGGGCCAGGGGGAAGGTCAGTGGGCAGCGGGGGAAGAGTAGAGGGCAGGGCGGGGAACAGCAGTGGGCAATGGGGAGGAAGGGGGTGGGCAAGGAGGGGAAAGGCAGTGGGCAATGGGGGAGGAATGGTGGGCAGGGGGGAAAAGCAGTGGGCAATGGGAGAAAAGTAGTGGGCTAGGGGGAAGGGAGGGGGAAACAAGGGGAAAAGAGTGGAAAGCAGGATAGAATACGAGGGGGAAACAACGGGGGACAGTAGGGGAGAGCGGGCGGGGATAAGAGTGGGGGAACCAAGGGGGGAAAGGGGGAGGAACACGAAGAAAATGGGGGAAAGCGGGGGGGAAGTGGGTAATCAAAGGAGAGGGTCGGGAGTGGAGAGAGGACCGGAGGATGGGTGGGACCCAAATGGGCAGCAAAACGGGCAGGGGGGAAGAACAGCGGGGAGGCGGGGGGAAAGCAGCGGGAACACAGGGGGGGGGGGAAGCAACGGGCCAGGGGGGAATGGCGGCGGGCAAGGGAGGAGAAGCAGGGACCAGGGGGAAAAGCAGCTGGCAATGGGCGAATAACAGCGGGCAAGGGGGGAAAGCAGGGGCAAGAGAGGGTAAAGCAGCGGGCAAGGGGGGAGAATCAGCGGGTAAGGGGGAAGACGAGCGGCAAAGGGGGAAAAGCAACAGGCAAGGGGGGGAAAGGCAACGGGCAAGGGTGGGAAAGGCAACGGGCGAGCAACAGGCCAGTGGGAAAAGCAACAGGCCAGGGGGAAAAGCAGCGGGTAATGGGGGGAAAATAACAGCGGGCAATGGGGGGAAAGGCAGGGCCAAGGGAGGGGAAGGCAACGGGCAAAGAGGGGAAAACAGCGGGCAAGGGGTGGGACAAGCGGCGGACAAGGGGGGGATAACCGCGGGCGAGGGGGGGAAAAGCAGGGGCAAGGAAGGGAAAAGCAACTGGCGAGAGTAGAAGAGCAAGCGGGCAAGGGGGGAAAAGCGGCGGCAAGGGGGAGAAGCAGCGGGCACGTGAGGAAAGGCAGCAGGGAAAAGTAGCAGCGGGCAGTGAGGGGAACGATACTGGACCAAAGGGGGGCAAGGAGGGGAATGGCAGTGGGCACGGGGGAAAAGCAATGGGCACGGGGGGAAACGCGTGGGCCGGGAGAGAAAATGTGTGGGTAAGTGCGTAGAGTTAGTGGGCAAGTAGGGACAAGCAGTGGGCAAGGAGGGGGAACAGCAGTGGACAAGGAGGGGGAAGAGTAGTGGGCACGGGGGGAGGGATGGGGAAAACGGAGGGCAGACTCCTGGGAAACAGTGGGGGGAGATATCACGGAACCGGGAAGAGGGGTGGGGGAGACAGGGAGGTACTAGGGGGAAACTGGAGGGGGTATATGGGGAAGCCTGGTGGGGAAAAAGGGGGGAGACCTGGGGGGAGTGGGGGAAGCCGGGGAGCAGCGGGCAGGGAAGCGGGGGAGCAGCGGGCAGGGAAAGTGGGGGGAGCAGTGGGCAGGGAAAGTGGGGGGAGCAGCAGGCAGGGAAACGGGGAGAGCAGCGGGCAGGGAAGCGGGAGAGCGGCGGGCAGGTGAAGTGGGGAAAAGCAGAGGCTAGGGGGGGGGGGGAGGATAGCAGCGAGGCAAAGAAGGGGGGAAAAGCAGCGGGCGAAGGGGGGAAAAGCAGCAGAACAGGGGGGAAAAGCAGCGGACAAGGGGGGAATAACAGCGGGCAAGGGGGCTAAGGCAGGGGCAAGGGACTGAAAAACAACGGGCAAGGGGGAGAAAATCGGCGGGCAAGGGGGGAAGAGCAGTGGGCAGAGGGGGAGAAACAGCGTCCGTGGGGGGGAATAGCAGCGGGTAAGGGGGGAAGAGCAAGGGCGAGTGAGGGAAAGGCAACGGGCGAGGGGGAAAAAGGCAACGGGCAAGGGGGGAAAAGCAGCGGGCAAGTGGGGGAAAACAGCTCAGCACCGTGCATTGGGGGGACAATGAGCGGCACAGGGTGAAAGACAGCGGGCAGGCGAGGGAAAAACTGCGGGCTAGGAGGGACAGAGCAGTGGCTTGGGGGGGAAGCCATGGACAAGGGGGGAAAAGCAAGAGGCAAAGGGGGGGAAAATCGGCGACAAGGGAGGGAGAGTAGAGGCAAGGGGGGGGAAGCGGCGGCAAAAAAGGGGAGAAACAGCGAGCTAAGGAGGGGGAACAGCAGCGGGCGAGAGGGAGGAGCAGCGGGCGAGGGGGAGAAAGCAGCGGCAAGGGGGGAAGCGGCGGGCAGGGGGGGAGAAGTACCGGGCGGGGGTGGAAAAGCAGCGGGGAACGTGGGGAAAGGCAGCGGCAGGGGGGGAAACGGCGAGCTGTGGAGCCGGGGAAGCGGCGAGCTGGGGGAAGGGAGAGGGGCAGCGGCGAGTTGGACAGAGGGCGACGATGGTGGCGAGCT